TAGGGATTTATCTCTTTTAATTATTTATCAAGATCACCCATTAGTTGCTCATTGCATTTAGAATTGTGTTTGTTTTTCATTTTTATTTGTATTGCTCGAGAGGTATCTAAAATATATAATTGTGAATATTTTTCATTATTTAGTTTGAAACTTCCAATATTATGTTAAATTTGTTCATATATCTTAAAATAATTACGGCCACCTACTGCAATCTCTTCAATGTTTGCACCCATTGATGCTGCACTACTATAATTTTGTATTAGATCTTTAAAATTAATAGTCTTTGGAGAAAGCATGGAAAAGGATGTAATTTTTCAGTTGCTATTCTCCTGTCACAATTACAATTGAAAACATTTTCCACCATAAAAAAAAGGGCCTTACAAAGTATGCATTGTTTTTCCATCTTACCAAGAATGTTGCTCACATTTATCATTTTCATTCTCTGATATTAAACCCATTTTTTATTTTTTCTTTGTTTTTTTTTTAATTTTGTCTCACTGTGCTACTAACAGTAGTTACAAGAACACAAGAAATCATATGACAGGAATTGCCAGTAGTAGACAGACTATCACCAATTTCACATAGATAGGTCACTGAAGAAGAACTTTCCAGGTGTGTACTCGCATTCAACATTGGCAATTTATGAGGAGCTTTCAACGCTCGCCAGGTACCAAAACAGGCTCTCGGCTGTGGATTACGCAGTGGCTGTCTTCATGTTCACACATGATGGCAATTCTCTAACTTTCGTTCCACTTTCCTCCAGGCGAAAGCTTATTCGGCTCATTGATAGCTATGGAGCTGGGAATATATCTTGGGATGAATTTGTGTTTCAAGTGAAAATGCTGCACAAAGTGAGGACAGGCCCAGCTCTAAGAGTTCCCGCTCCCATCCCAAAGCACGAAGACTATTTAATATTTTGACAACCTGTTTCCTGGTTGCATATGTGACAACAACAGCAGCACCAGCGAAATGTAGAGCGCTCTTTAATATGTACAAAATCCGGGAAAGTTTTTTCATGGCACAGTATGTAGATTCAACATGATTGAAATTTTCCATGTATCAATGCACAAATTATTAGTGTAAATAACAGACTTATTACACATTCATCAATGAATCTACTCATATTAAGTTGTCTATTAGCTCAGATATAGTCTCATATTTGTGCAATATCATAAAGTTAAAAATCATAAGATTATGATAAAAGTATAACTTATTTACAAGATATAATAGCTGGAGCTATTCAACTCTTCTATTTTAAGTTATAAAATATATCATTTCTATAGTCACTACTTTATTTACTTTTAACTTTATATTATATCTTTTATTGTGTGTACTATATACCATCTTTGTAAAAGAAATTATGTTTAATTTTAATAATGTAGCATTGAATTAATCAGATACTCTTTGTTCTATAAAGTTTTTATTCTATAGAAGAAAGAGTATATGATTGATTTTGATAATACATGTTTAAACATATTGAACATATTTTTTGTTTTAAATATATTGTACATAGTAGACATAATAAAGAAATTCATCAATGAATACCATCTTTGTACAACTAAATGTTTAAAATCATTTGAACCTAGTGCATTATATTATCTTGGATCAGTTGTCTAATTGCCTTTTATATGTATTACAATATCACTTATGCCTCCTTGAAAATTTGTTAATTTTAACACTTCATTCTCTATTTCTTACAATATTGTGAATGCATTAGCATAGGGATTTATCTCTTTTAATAATTTATCAAGACCACCCATTAGTTGCTCATTACATTTAGAATTGTGTTTGTTTTTTGATTTTTATCTCCGTTGCTTGAGCAGTATCTAAAATATTTCATTGTGAATAAGCTGCATATTTTTCATTATTTGGTTTGAAACTTCCAATATTATATTAAATTTATATATATAGATTAAAATAATTAGGGCCACCTACTGCAATGATCAATGAGGCTCTTTCGTTTAAATATATTGGATGATTGGCAAAAGATCTCGATTCAACTTTGATCTTTATTTATATATCAATAAACGTTTTACAATTCTTTCTTTACATTTCAACTCCCTCGTTTTCCTTTTCGTTCCAACTTGTTTTCATTCTGCAGTTGTTCTCGGCAGCCACTGAAAATGTTTTCCAGCCATAGACATAAGAGATGTTGATGTCCGGAGAATACAAAAAAGAAAAACGCAAGCAAATGAAGTTAGTAATGGTGAAAAGGAAATAGGAACTTACTGCTGGCATTTTCTTTTAAGCCACTCGAACTTTCTTCATGCCCAAGTTGTTCTCAAGGCTGGGAGCACTCCTTTTCACACCACTCCTTCACAGCTTGTCGGTCTTAATGCTGCAATTTTTGACAAATCCATGGGTGTTGCAGAACCTGATCGAACCTGAACCTGATTGGTCCTTGCTTGTTTGCAGCGGAGGATCTCCTTTCTAAGATGTTGGCCGTGGATCCGAAACAGAGGTCGCCCCCTGTCACACGAGATCAAATGCTTCCATTGGCTGGTATCTTCCCTTTCCCAGCGTCTTGTATAAAATTGCTCCTAGCCCCCACATTTCGATGGCTGCCATGTAGAGCTCCAATCCTTGTTCTCCACCACCTCAGCTGCCATGTACTTTGCTGTTGTGATATCTCCTAAAGGTGCTGATCACCACTTGTCATGCATGTTTAGCTTGGAAAGAATGTTGTCGAGCTTGAGATTCTGGTGAACCACGCCCTTTGAAGGTCTTTACCAGCTGCTTGATGATTCTGGCTGCTTTCTCCTCACCAATCTTCTCGCAAATATGCTATATTTAAAAGACCAAATAATTATGGAATAACGCCTTAAGAAGGGAAGGCAAAACTTCCACCAACGAACACAACCACTGGAGGAAAAATGCCCGTGCCCTGTCCAAAAGGAGACTCGGACAACACCACAAAGTCAGCAAAATTTCCTGGCGTCAGCGACCCAACCAAATCCTCCAATGCAGCTGCATACACAGCCGAGGATGTGTACCTGTGAATCCAAAAACAAAAACTGCATTTCAGTTTCTCATCTGTTATCTCTTACCCTGCCACTACGTCCCATGCAGAAATCCTTTCCTCGGGATGACTCCAGCCTGAAGTGTTCTCTCCACGGCTGTGCGGATTCCTCCAAGTGGATTCACTGCTACCACCTTGAGACAAACCATTCATGTAACGCCGAAGAAAAAGTATTTGACAGGCTTACAGACCAGTCAGATCCTAGAGCAACCACACTACCGTTTCCGAGGAGGGAAATCATTGCACTTCACCAGTTTATACCCCTCTTTGAGCCTGTAGCTTTTGCGTTATAGGAGTGTAAAGTAGGGACCATGTATTAGCACCCACTCTGCAAAAGAGGGACTTGAGAGTCTCTGAGCTTTTCAATCGGTAGCAGCTTCAGATCTTCACGTACAGCTGACTGTAGCTCTGAGGTGCTCTGCAATGAAGACCGCATCAAACACACACACACAGAGGCAGACCTGGAACAAACAGGCACTTTAAGCCTCGAAAGAGAATAGCAAAAAGCAAGAGAGTGAAAAACCTTGATTCTAGTCGTGGTTCCAGCCTCGAGAACCTGGAACAAACAGGGACTTGAGAGACTCGAAAAAAATAGAGCTTAGACCCGACGGCCGTGGAGCTGTGGCTGTCCCGAGGAGAAGTACAGGGACGAAAATTTCTTTTTTTTCTCTTGGTTCCAGCCTCGAGCACCTGGAACAAACAGGCACTTTAAGCCTCGAAAGAGATTAGCAAAAAGCAAGAGAGTGAAAAACCTTGATTCTAGTCGTGGTTCCAGCCTCGAGAACCTGGAACAAACAGGGACTTGAGAGACTCGAAAAAAATAGAGCTTAGACCCGACGGCCGTGGAGCTGTGGCTGTCCCGAGGAGAAGTACAGGGGCGAAAATTTCTTTTTTTTCTCTTGGTTCCAGCCTCGAGCACCTGGAACAAACAGGCACTTTAAGCCTCGAAAGAGATTAGCAAAAAGCAAGAGAGTGAAAAACCTTGATTCTAGTCGTGGTTCCAGCCTCGAGAACGTGGAACAAATAGGGGCTTGAGAGACTCGAAAAAAATAGAGCTTAGACCCGACGGCCGTGGAGCTGTGGCTGTCCCGAGGAGAAGTACAGGGACGAAAATTTCTTTTTTTTCTCTTGGTTCCAGCCTCGAGCACCTGGAACAAACAGGCACTTTAAACCTCGAAAGAGATTAGCAAAAAGCAAGAGAGTGAAAAACCTTGATTCTAGGCGTGGTTCCAGCCTCGAGAACCTGGAACAAATAGGGGCTTGAGAGTCTCGAAAAAAGACTGTCATTTTTTCCGGCGCGTGGCCATTGACAACGGTTTCCTGAGCTTTTCAAGCGGTAGCAGCTTCAGATCTTCACGTACAGCTGACTGTAGCTCTGAGGTGCTCTGCAATGAAGACCGCATCAAACACACACACACACAGAGGCAGACCTGGAACAAACAGGAACTTTAAGCCTCGAAAGAGATTAGCAAAAAGCAAGAGAGTGAAAAACCTTGATGCTAGGCGTGGTTCCAGCCTCGAGAACCTGGAACAAATAGGGGCTTGAGAGTCTCGAAAAAAGACTGTCATTTTTTCCGGCGCGTGGCCATTGACAACGGTTTCCTGAGCTTTTCAATCGGTAGCAGCTTCAGATCTTCACGTACAGCTGACTGTAGCTCTGAGGTGCTCTGCAATGAAGACCGCATCAAACACACACACACACACAGAGGCAGAGAGAGAGAGAGAGAGAGAGAGAGAGAGAGTAGCTTCCCACAAGCGATGATCGACGCTCTCTCCTCGTGGTCACGCGCCCTAAAAGACAATTGAAAGTTTTTATGATACCAAAAGTCACAGCTCTCCATTGTTTAATCTCAGCCGTTAGATTTTGGCATATGCCCAGAATAAGTGACGCCAGTATATGCCATTATTATACGGGCTCTTTCGTTTAAATATATAGGGGAATGTATGCCACGTGGCAGGCGATTTAGGGTTCTAGCGAAATTCCTTAAACTATTTTACTTTTAGGGCAGCTAGGGCGCACAGAAATGGAGGACGCGGAGGAGGTATGCGTGTGCTTGATCGTACCGAAGTGCTCACATTATTTGCGATTAGCTCGACGGATTCAAGGACTTCACTGTGTCGTCGTCGTGGGAGAGGTTTGGTCGAGGATTCTTGTAGGGCTGTTGATGATTGCGCTGTGTGCGTGTAGATTCATCGCAGCTGTGGAGTCGGCGTGCCTGGAGTGGCAGAACGCTGGAAAGAATGCATTGCTGGTAGGAATTTCGTCGCTGAAACTGGAATTTTTTCCCTTTTACTTCGTATGAAAACCAGGATGCTGGAGCTAAACGTGTGGAGGATCTTCTGGATTTATACTCTGTGCACACGGAAGTTTCACAGGGACAGAAAAACTATCGCCTCGAGTTCTTCTTCGGTGAAAGAAGTAGTAGACATGGAGCGGAAGACTGGCAAGAGGGCTTACATCATTTGCAGCTCTGGTTTGGAGTGCACGATTTTGTGGTGAGTTTGTGTTTTCACGCATTGAAACTTCATTCCTTGGTTGCTTTTTTTTCCAGCTGATCGCGCCGGTCAGTTTGAGTGGCGTTCTTCTTGATGCTCCGGAGGCAACCATGCTGCTGAGCACAGTCTCGATTGCATTATCAAACTGTGGAAGGTCTGTCGCTCTTTACTTTTTGTTGTTCGTTCGGTTGATTATGCTCTGTGTTTTCAGCTCGTGGCCTGTTTTTGTACCTGTGCACGATCCAACCCGGAAAGCGTACATGGGAATCGAAAGCTTGGAAGGCCTCTCGTCGATAAAATTTGAAGCTGACAGGATTGGGAGACAGGTACCAATAAAGCTAATGCACCTGGAGGGACTGTACGACTTGTTCATGTCCAAACTGGTATGCTTGCTTTTGCGCATGTTTAGTGTTTCAATTCAAGTTTTTCATCTTCTGTAGCGTTGATTATTGAAGGGTGCTGCAGAAGACGTACCGAGGCTGGGATTCACCATGAGACTAACATATGCAACTTCGCATTATTTATTCGAACACGGGCTACTCGCAGGAGAACAAGGAGACGGCCAAGACAGTGAAATGGTCGACACATCCCTGTGGGATGATAACTTTCAGTGGGCCGAGTGGCACTCCGTGGAAGATCCTATAAAAGGCATGTAACTTTTGGTCATCGCTGTCGCTCTGATTTGGTGTCTTCTATGCAGGTTTCGAGCTGATTGCTGTTTGGAGAAGCAGGTATGTGTCGAACTCTTTCGAGATGGCGGAGTTTGAGAATGCTTCTACATTCGATGCAGACCGCTGGATGCTAAGACCGCTTCTTACTCGGTACGTGAGACTTACAAACGAGTTGACTTCTCTGAAATCCACGTTACAGACACGAGAATGGAGATGAAGCATCTGGTTTCACTGGGAGATTGAGACGACTAGTTCAGGCATTTGTTTTCTCGAAAGAAACGGAATTTATGGAAGATTTTGTAAATGGTAAGCTCGTTTTTTTCTACCAGCTGTATGGAGAAAAAGCTAATTACCCTCTATCCAGTGACTAAGCCTGAGCTAGAAAAGAATATACAGTCTTGCAAGGTACCTCCGACTACTGTTCTAGATCGAATTTTGAAAGACATATTTTTCCAAGGTAGATCTTACAGTTTGAAAGCGACTTTCTGAAAACCTTTTTTGGTCTTATACCAGCGCCTAAGGCTTTTGGATACGCCAATGAAAGTGCTCGTATGATCAAAGCAGCACCACCGGATTCGCTGTTTGGTCGTTTTTGTCTACATGTGTTATGGTTTGGCGATTGCAACATCCGAGCTATTGCTCAACTCTGGATTGAGTTTTTACGAGAAGTGAATTGGTGTTGGGAGGAGCGGCAACTGTTGCCAAGAACTTTAGCTGACGAAACTCCGGATTTCTCGACGTGCTTAAGCCAACAGAAGCTGCAGATGGTAAGCTCATGAATTTTTTTCTTCCAAGTGTTAATGTTGTCCTTAACATTTAGCTCGCAACGTGTATCAAACTAAGAAAAGCTTCTGATGGCGCTAAGGGAGAAACATCAGCTAGAAAGGTGAGGCTGTGTCAGCACATCCTTGAACAATGTCTCTCTAACGCAATTGCATTGTAGGAGACGGGAAGTAATGATGCAGAGCTATCCTCGAGCTCAAAAAAGACCAAGTTATCCAGCGTAGATGACAACCTGAATATAGACTTGTTCTTTAATAACGAACACAGGAAAGGCTCAGCGGGACCGTTTGGCAATTTAGTTTTGTCAAGCTCGAATAAGCCTCTCCATGTGCCTATGACACAGGTAAGTGCCACACACGTTGTTTTCCAGAAACTTATGTTATTTTCTGCTGCCAGACTCCGCCAATTATGACTGAGGACATGTTAGAGGAACGGGAACACGCACTGGTAGCTCTAGAGAACTCTCCTAGTGTAAGTATAATGAAGTTTTAGTGTTTCAAGTGCTCAGGTTGGAACTCACACAGGGTAAAGCTGCCCGAATTCGCTTACAAAGTGATATTCTAGCTTCAGGTGTGTTTGCTCTTTTTTGTTGCAGACTGCATTCTCATTGTATTGTGAATGATCAGATATGGCTGCTTTTAAGGCGGCAAATCCAGGTGCTGTGCTAGAAGACTTTGTAAGGTGGCACTCTCCTCGAGATTGGATTGACGACGACGGCTCGGATTCAAAGACTAAGAAAGCTAAAGGAAAGCTTTCGAGACGAATGGGAGAACCGGGTAATGTATGGGCGCAAATATGGGAGACTGCAGAGCCAACTCCTGCGTCGGAGCAAAGGCCAATTTTTGACTTCACAAGGGAGGGAGAGAAGGTAACTATCTTACCGTTCGCTTTTGAGCTTTTTACCCACAGTTTTTCTGTTTCTTCAGGTTCTTCATTACCTTGAAACGCTGAAGCCTCATCAGCTTTTAGCACATATTGTATCCACTGCTTTCGTCGCTGCCACGGACGTGCTGTGGAGAACTCCCGGATGCAAACTCCAGCCTGTGGTTGAACGTTTTGACGAGTTCTACGCGATAATGGCAGCGGCCTTAGCACCTCTCGGAAGCCTTTCCATCCCAGGTAGAGTCTTCTTATGAATGTTTCCACTAGACCAGCTCAGTGTTCTCTGTTTTGTTTTCTAGACAAGGACGCGCAGCACCACATTAGCGAATGGGAGCGAGACTTAAAGCAACTGTGTGCTGCGTTCGAGAAACTCGAGGATGCGGTTGCGGAAGCTGCGTCGTTGCGTCAAAAGCTACCAGAGGCGTCGGAGTCGCTGCTGAGTTCGATCTTTCGCTGCACAGAGGTAGACAAACAAACGCAAATCCGAAGCTATGTTCTTGTAAAAGTTCTCAGCTGACCATTGTTTTCCTTTGCCAGGGAGTAGCATCATCATCGGCGCCCTTGCTCTCATACAGGGACCGAGAGATGGTAGCGGAGAAGCTGTTTAGCTCGCAGAGCGTGAGCGAGACGTGGGAGGAGAGCTTGCGAATGGGCAACTTCTTAAACGGGCACGAGCCCCTCTACAGGGACGTGCTCCTGACTTGCTACGAGAAGGAAGCTGTCTATGGCGGCGGCGGTGGCGGTGGCGGTGGCAGCAAGAACAAGACCAAGAGGAGCTCCAGCTCCAGCTCCTCGGCCCCAAAACGAGGCTGCTCTCATCGAATGTTTGCGTGTGGAACGGCGGACGATTTGCAAATCGCCCTGTCCTCCACTTCCCACGACTAAAACATTACGAAGCTTGTGAATACTGTCGTACTAAGATGAAAACGAAAAAGTAAAGAAATACCCACCTGCTTTTAACAGTTGTGGTCACAGTTTATGTGAGTCAATGCTCGTGGTCAATTATATCAACGTCTTGGTCAATGGTCAGTGAATTAAAGGATGGTAAAGTTTTACGCGGCACATTTACGTCAACAAAGAACCATGGCAGATTTCTCTATAGTTTGTTCGAGGGCCTTGAAGCTGGCCATTGCTATTTGCATAAAAAGAGACTGCTTTTGGCAATTGTACAGTAGCTAGTGTTAGATTTAAAATTATGGTTTAGCATGGCCTTTGAGATGCATTTAGTTGTTATATGCTGGTTTTCTTTCCTTTGTTGCTGGTGGTGTTCTTCCTGCTTTTCCATTACTATTGATAATTCCTGGTGATCCTGATGAAATGGCTGGAGATTTTTTTGCTCTGCTTGGCAACAAGGCTGGTTTTGAATCCACTGTGTTGATGGTGCTCACAGACTGGAAGGGCCTGGCAGCAGCAGTGCCATGAAGAAACAGGAGGAGCACGGCCAAGATCACAGCCACATAAACCATCCTTGATATCGCCATTTCAGAGCAGGAGAAGCCTAGCAGAAAACTTTCAAGTGACTGCAGAAAACTAGGAGTGGAGCTTGCTACAAATTCCCTTGAGTTTATTGTTCATATCAAAGCATGAGGTTTTTATAGTGTTTCGAACCTGACCTGAGACAAGAAGAGGGAAGTTTCGGTTCACTTTCAAAGCTTGAATCTTCGCGGCACCGTTAGAGCTACAGTCAATACTTCAATAGGGGTCAATAATTCAAAAGTGGTCAATGTTTTTAAAATTTAACTAACGAATTTTAATGAAATTAATAATTTACTGCATGTAATAACACTTTGTTTGCTTAATTAGTATTTAATTGACCAAATAGAATTTAATAATTAAAACATATTTATAATTTATAAACATAAGATTAATCTAGAATAAAATAGAATATGCTAAGAAGTGTTTAGAAATTTTTTTAAATTATAAACATATTTATAAATAATAACTTTTAGATTGTAGAATATCCTAGAATATTTAAGCATATTCTAGATATATACACTATCATCTCAAATAAATTATTAAGGAAGATTCTAGAATGTATTTAAAAAACTAGACTTACTTTAGTATGAATTTCCTTCTTACTCAAAGCATTCTTGATTTTGTTCATAAACCAAATTCTTGATTTGTGATTTTGTCACCAGCAGGAATGGCACACTGGCCGCAAGCAATCTATGCAGAACAAGTTGTATCAACACTACCACCCTTGGAACCATCGCCCAGCGCAAACTTTCCCACTTCCTGGCAATTCCTATATGAGCTCCGCTGGGCTCGCTCCAAGAGGTTGGCTGGGCATTACGATACTTAGGCAGTAACGGCCAATGGATCTTTCTCAACCCACGGCTGCGGCTGATCCTCTCCAGTCCTTCGCGCGAGCGAAACGAAAGTGTGCCCTCATTGCAAATCATAATATTTGAAATTAGCTGAGAGTGGCAGAATGCTTTGCTGGTATGTCTGTTCGTCAACTAGAAATTCTTTTTTCTTTGTCTTCGTTTGAAAACCAGGATACTGGAGCTAAGCTCATTTCTTTGGAGAAAAACTAATTACCTCTTCTATCCAGCCAGAGCTAGAAAAAAAGAACCAAATGTTGCAATATATCTCCGACAAGTTTTCGGGATCTAATCTTGAAAGACATTTGAAATTCCAAGGTATATTAACACTCGTTTATAAAGTAATATTCTCTTTTACTTTAAGATTGTATTCTGTGCTAGAAGACTTTGTAAGGTGGCATTCGCTTCGAGATTGAAACTTACTAAGAAAGTGAACATAAAGCTTTCAAGAACCAGGCAATGTATGGAGAAACTGCAGAGCGAACTCCTGCCTTGGAGCAAAGGCAGTTTTGACTTCACAAGGGAGGAGAGAATACTACCCTACTGTTCATTTTTGAATTTTTTACCCAGCTCCTCAACACATCAATAACCTTATTAATCCAAAAGATAATTTTTGTCAACATGAAGAGAATGAAAGTATACCTAGCAAATAGCTCTTGCCACAAACCATGAAGACAATTGGACAGCCTTATATCATATATATCCATGGCAGTCCACTCTTTTCTAGAACTAGGTAATAACTAAAGCCCATTTCTGTAACCTAAACCAGAAAATTTAACTTTGTTACTTGTGCGTCAAAAGCTCAAAAACAAACATATTACTCGGTTCTGCCATAAGCTTTCCTTATATGACTCTTTGAATTTGGGCTGCTTGCATTGGGCTCTTTTTTCTAGCTCTGGCTGGATAGAATTTAAAGCATTTTACATTCTTTCAAGCGTTTTGCCACTGGAGGCAACACAATAAATCTAAAAATCGCTGCCCTAAAAAAAAGGCTTGAAGAGTAGTATCACTTGCTCTATGTTTCCTATTTCTTTTCTTTCATTGGGTGATCTTTCTTCAGAGTTCTTTAGTTCACTTCAGATTTTAACTTACAACAATGATCAATTGGGTGATTTCAGCAGCAGGAATGACACACTGGAGACATTGCCACCATGCCTCAATGCAAGCTTTTGTTTCCCCACTTTTCTATAGAAGCTCTGCTCACTCTCGCTGACATGAAGAGGTGAACGGGCTTGGCTGGGCGTTACATACGTTAGTTAGGCAGTAACACAGCTCACCCTGATCTTTCTCTTTCCTCATCTCGTGTGAGTACAATTCCTGTGATGGGAAGTAGATTCTGCTCCATCCTTTGCAATGTAGCTTTCTTTGCCTTTGTTATATCTGTGCTTGTCTTTGATGATTGAGGCTTGTATGTATGCCTAGATCCCTGTGGTGTTGAGGTATAATTCTTGAGGTGGATATATATGAATCACAAAAAAAGACTAGTGCTTGGTGAGCAGAGAGAAAATTCTTTGATTTTTACCTGATGATCAACTAGGGGTTGATGGATTATATATATGATTCAAGTCTGGGGATTTGGAAGGGAATAGCACTGCCTGTAGGTTGGATACTTGATGATAAATGGTACAGAAGGATGGTGTGCCTCGACTTGGAGAGCTTGATTTGGCATACTGAATGGATAGACAGTGCTCCAGGTTGGGATTTCTCTAAAGAAGACCCCACAAATGTCTTCGATCAGTTTGGGGAAGATTTATTCAAGAAATATACTTTAAAAGCTCACATTTATCAAACTGTACCATTTCTTATGTGAGATATTTGAAGAATCATTGTTTGATCCCTGATAAAGGTTCTTCAAGATTTATCTTACTAAATAAAATATCTTCAAGTTTTAGTTTTTGGTCTTACTAAAAGTTAAAAAAAAAAGAAAAACTTTACCCCTTTTTAACATTCTTCAGAGATTTAGGGTTTATCCGTCATGAGTGTGGCTTCTTCCCTGGCACTGTGTCCAATCTCTCCAATCCCTCGCTGGGACAAAGGAGCCAAAGAGGGGATTGCCACCACAAAATGCAAGGTAACGAAAGAAAAGAAGCAATCTCTCTCCAAGCAGGAGCTGCGAATTGGAATTCCACTCACATTCGCGGCATTCGCCCTCGCGAATTTAAACCCCGGCCTCGCGCTGGCTGCTGCCGATGATCCCTCTTCCCTGTGCTTGAGCTTTGGTGATAACAACGCCTACACTGTCATCGCCATAGCCTGCGTGCTTCAGGCAGTGGCTCTCGTTGGTGCCGCAGTGGGAGGTATCCAAAGAGAAAGAAAAAAAAAAAACTCTTTAGCTCTCGAGAAGAAAACCAGCTTGATTTCCACTTTCCTTGCAGGGACTCTGGCCAGGCAGCGCAAGCTCGAAGTGGAGAAGATCAATGGCCAGCTGCGGCAAATCTTTGCAAAGATGAGGAGACAGTACCAGGTGGAGACGTATGCGCCGAGTCTCACGTACGCCCCCGCTACTCTGGGCCGCTCGCAAGATCTTCCACAGGCCACCGCGCTCGATCCCGCCAAGCAGGAGCTCACGAATCGCTTGAGAGGCGGCAAGAGGTTCCTCCGCGAGAAGAATCCACAGGCCGCCTTTGACGAGTTCCAAAAGGCGATGGCTCTCGCCAAGGAACTCAACGATCGCGTCGAGCAGAAGAAAGCTGCTCGAGGCCTCGGTAAACTTCCCTTCCGCCACCTCTTTTGATTTTTCTTCCTGCGGCCTTGCAGCAAATCACTGAGAGAAACTTCGTGTGTACCTTGCAGGAGCTTCTTGCCAGAGACAAGGGAAGTTTCGAGAGGCCATAAAGCACCATAGCATGGTGCTCACCATCGCCCATCTCTCCGGCGAGCACAGTGGATACACTGAGGCTCTGGGAGCGATTGCGGACTGCTACACGGAGCTGGGAGACCTGGAAAACGCAGCAAAGTTTTATGATCAGTACATAGCACGACTAGACAACGAGGAGGACTAGTTACCGACACTTACCTTTTTTTTTTCTTTTTGTTCGTTCCTCCAAAGCAATAGCGAAATCCTGAAAACCTTTAGCGAGAACAAACCAAGATAGTACACAATACGTACATGTCCAATTTAGCTCAGACGGGGGAGTCGTCTTTGCCCTGTTGAACAGCCAAGGAGGCTCTCTCGTCTTGCGATACCGGAAGAAGAACGTAGACGTCATGAGCTTCTGGCTTGGAGACCACGCCTCGGTCTTTGTCCATTGCATAGCAGATGTAAACAGTGTCGACGATGATGTTCATGATCGCGATATAAATGGAGAGTATCAGCAGTAGCAAAGCGCCGGATAGCACAGTGACAATGTAGATACCGCTGTCGAGACTGGTAGTACCAAGTAGAATACCCCAAACCTGTGGATAAAACACTCAGACAATTACGAACAGAGGAAAACGTCGATAGACTTACTGCAACCGCGTAGATGATCGAGACTACAACCATCACGCCACCGAGGAGCCTGGTGGAAATCACCTCCACAAACACCGTCGACAGAAGATTGCGTTTCAAAAGCTCGTACGTTCTCGCAGCGGACGAACAAAAGCCTTCTCCAGTGATCGCAGCGAAGTCGACCGTGAACTTGGTGACAAATTCAATGGCTTGGAGTAGCCACTCGTAGCAACAGCGCAGGAAAGACATAGCCAGACCCTCACCTTCCTGGCTGTCCTTGGCAGTGTCCACCGCATTGCGAATGAGACGCACAAACGCGAAGAGCAAGCCCGAGAAGCATATAGTCCCAAACGAGGAACTAAATGCTTGCCTGAAAGCACAAAGAAAGAAGTTCCATCAACTTTTCCTTCCAACAAAAAAGAAAAGAGAGCGTAGCTTACCCAAGCGATCTTCTCATAGCTCCAATCGTGTGCGTATCAACCTCCGCAAAGTACCACTGACTAATGGTACCACTAATGGTGTAAACTTTAACTTGTGCAACTACACAAGTCGCCCAGACAACGAACAAAGCAGCCAAAGTCATGTAAGCGGGAACCCAACTCTCGACATTCCACTCGCAGCACTCTCGACTCGTCCCTCTACCGCAGGGAAGCTCAGGTCGATCTCTCAAATCAGCATTGGGGACATACTTCCCATTCATGTAAGAGAAAACCAGGAAGAACGCGGCGGGGACGTAGAAGACGAGCAGTACCAGCGACAAACTGGGAACCACTAGCAACAGCGAGAGATTCCTGTAAAGAGCCTCGGACGCCGTGGTGATGACCCTCACGGTGAGCTCAACGCGAGCAAAGTTGGCGAAGATGATCCAGACTATGATCGCACAGAAGGCGAAGATGAAGACGAAGAACAAGATGCGAACGGGGAGACTGACGCTGTCTTGGCACTCGCTGTCTTTGGCGCAAGCCACGAACCAAAGGATGTTGAGAGCCACGGGGAAGAGGATGAAGAGAGGGAGGCTCACGTAAACAATCTCTTTGGTGTAGTGGCGGAGCAGCCAGACGAGAGCTAGAACGATTGGAACGCTCAGCACGAGAGTGACGGCGAGGGAGGAGATGAGTGCCACCGCAAAGCCGTGGCTGCTGGACACTCTCTCCGGAAGAACAACGCTAGCAAGCGTTCTCCACGACGAGATCCTGCCCGGGTGACTTAGAAGGAAATCCAGCTTCGCGGAGGGATTGGAATGGGCGACCGTGCATCGGCTCTGGTTGCGAAGATAGTGAGCCGGCTCCGACCACTGGAAATCGGAATTGTGGTGGACGATTGCGAAAATGCCGAATCCAAGCGTAGCTAGAGCCGCGAGGATGAACACGATCGCGAATGCGATGTCCCTGTATGGCCTGGCGCCATAGTTGTAGCCCCTGAAACCCTGCTCTTCGATCGGCGCCTTACCCGTCTCATCCTCGTGATCCTCGTGAGTTCCTTTCGCCTCACTGTCCTTGAGCAGCGGCTCCTCAATCCCGCCATCGCTGCCGCTGCCGCTGCCGGACGGCTTCTCTTCCATCGGATCGCCTGGATCGATTAGAATCCCAGCAGCATTGCCAGCGAGCAGAGAAACCCTCAAAATAAGAACCCTAATTTTTGTGACGACTATCTTTGATCATAACCGTCATTTTTATTTAAAACTGACCGTTCGATTGGCTCTATCATGATCGTTCGTTTGACTAAAAAGGGTTTAAATCTCACTGTTTGGCTATGACGTTTAGTGGAGGGAATCGCGCGCTGAGTGGATCCTCGCTGGACGGCTGCGATGCTCCAGGATTTTCCGGCACAAGTTTGCTCCCCGCCATAGCCGAGCCGCGAGCTCGCGGGAATTCTAGGGTTTATAGTCCAGGGGGCGAGAATGCAGTGCCTCCCTTGCGCGATGAGCTCGCCTGGAGCGCTGCTGCAGCCTCAATCGGCTGTGGGATGGAGAGGAGGCGATCATTGGGAGAATTTGGTCGCGATTCCGTGCGCTCGGCTACACAGAGGCAATCGCAAGCAATTTTCTCCACTCAGGGTACGTGGAGAAAAATTTCCACAGTTTGGCAATTTTGATGTTTCTTCGGTTCTAGGTGGTGTGTAAAGATTATCCTAGACCCGAAATTGATTCTACTGTGAATTTTCTCGAGGCTGCTGCTCTCTCGGCATCGCTCAGAAATGCTCCTCGACCGAGCGAGCCTCTTAAGATTGTGATCGCCGGCGCAGGTAAATATTACTTTCGTGGTTCTGTAGAAGGATCTTCCATTTTGTTTCTTTGTTCTTGTGTAATTTTTTTAATTTTTTTTGTTTGCTTCGCAGGTTTAGCTGGTTTGTCTACCGCCAAGTATGTGGCTGATGCCGGGCACATTCCTATTGTTTTAGAAGCCAGAGACGTCTTGGGTGGAAAGGTCGGGTGTAGTTTTGAAACTCTTTTTTGGCTGTAACTTAACGACTGAAGCTAGCGATATAGGTGGCAGCTTGGAAGGACAAAGATGGCGATTGGTATGAGACCGGCCTTCATATTTTCTGTGAGTTTCTGATACTTCCGATTTTAAGTTTCTAATCCCTGCTTACGTTTCCAGTCGGAGCATATCCCAACGTGCAAAACTTGTTTGGAGAACTTGGCATCAATGATAGGCTGCAGTGGAAGGAGCACAGCATGATCTTTGCAAGGCCCGATAAGCCCGGGGAATTTAGTCGATTCGATTTTCCTGAGTTGCCTGCTCCATTTAATGGTAAGGCTAAAGATTTTTTCATTTACCTTGGACTTTTTGTTTCTAAAGCTTAGTTATGCAGGAGTGCTGGCTATTCTGAAAAACAATGAGATGCTAACCTGGCCAGAGAAGATCCGCTTTGCAATTGGATTGCTTCCTGCCATTGTCGGAGGGCAGAAGTATGTTGAGGCTCAAGACAACCTGACGGTAAAAGAGTGGATGATAAAGCAGGTATGTTTCTATCTTACTTAATCTTTCCTCTCATCTTTTTCGATTTCTTATTACAGGGTGTTCCGGAGAGAGTTAACGACGAAGTTTTCATTGCAATGTCTAAGGCCTTGAACTTCATCAACCCGGACGAATTGTCCATGCAATGTGTTTTGATTGCTCTCAATCGCTTTCTTCAAGTAAGTGTCACTTGTTTGTCTTGCTCATTTCTCTGCGCTCCTTGTGTAGGAATCACATGGCTCGAAAATGGCCTTCCTGGATGGAAATCCACCCGAAAGGTTGTGCACGCCAATAGTCGACCATTTTAGTAAGCTAGGAGGCGAAGTACGTTTAAACTCCCGACTCCAAAATATAGTCGTGAACGACGATGGGAGAGTCAAGCATTTTGCGCTCACAGATGGTAGTATAGTAGAGGGTGATGTTTATGTTTCAGCCATGCCTGGTACGTTTCCAATTACACTCTGAATCTGTCCTAATGTTTTTCTTGGTGCAGTTGATATTTTGAAGTTGCTATTGCCAGAAAGCTGGAAAGAAATGCCGTATTTTAAAAAACTTTCCAAGCTTGTAGGCGTGCCGGTTATAAACGTTCACATCTGGTAATGCGTTTGATATCGGTCTGATACGTGCAGTAACTATTGGTATTTGCAGGTTTGACAGGAAGCTAAAAAACACTTACGACCATCTTTTATTCAGCAGGTATAATTTTCTTCTAAATCATAGTTCCGAACTTGTGCTTACCTTCTTTCAGGAGCCCTTTATTGAGCGTCTACGCCGACATGTCGACGACATGCAAGGTTTAACGAATGAGTTAGGACAGACTTCCCAAAGTATAAATGCTGATGTTTTTTCAGGAGTATGCGGACCCAAACAAGTCGATGCTGGAACTCGTTTTTGCTCCAGCGGACAAATGGATAGCTCGAAGTGAGGAAGATATCCTTGATGCGACCATGCTAGAACTGGCAAAGCTCTTTCCCGACGAGATCGCCGCGGATGGAAGCAAGGCTAAAGTTCTGAAGTACCACATTGTGAAAACTCCCAGGCAAGCGTTTCTCTCTTAAAATTTCTCTTGTCTGATTCCACTTCCAGGTCCGTGTATAAGACTGTCCCCGATTGTGAGCCCTGCCGGCCACTCCAGAGATCTCCCCTAAGAGGATTTTACCTCGCGGGCGATTTCACGAAGCAAAAATACCTGGCGTCGATGGAAGGCGCCGTGCTATCGGGAAAACTCTGTGCCATGTCTATTGTACAGGCAAGTGGTGTTTGTTAATAGATCTATGTGTGACGTGATTTGATCTATGGCAGGATTCAAACAGCGGTGCTTTACTTCCAGTTCTTCCCAGAAAGACAATGAGCGTCACAAGGTAACAAGTAAAAGAATCTTACCATTTTGTTTAAAGCGCTCAAAGCAGAAATGCAAATGGTCTGTGAGTGTTTATGTTTGTTGCGTGTCTCTATTAACCAAGATCTCCTTGTGTATCCAAGCTCTTTTGGATCCATTTCTTCCATTCGCCTTCATCCATTCTCTTAGATATCAGGGACGTTCGGGTTAAAGATACTCTAGTTACTAGTGACGGGTTTTCTTACCTTGGATCACTTTGCTCTTTGCTGGGATGAAGATCCACATTGGCTGTGTGGGAAGGGATCCACCGCAAGGAAACAACCGCATGGGAAGGCTCTCATAAAGGTAGTTCTTTGTAAAGTTCAGGAGAAGACTAGGAAAGAAATGGACCAAGTTGGATATTATCTCTCAACTCAGTTGGTGAGGGTTTAGGTTTCACAGAAACCTGATGTATCTCCCAGAATTTAAAACACCATGAGATGCATAGAGTATTTTCACTGTTTTTTATTTACAACAAGCCAACATTTAGAATTTCAGTCATTGAAACCATGTAAAAATCTCAATTTAGGCATAATTTTTTCATACAACTATTTAGTTAAATTTATTAAGAGAAAATAAATTTAATAACTATGATGTGGTTCATCAATTTATAAGTAATAGCATTTATTTATATATATTTATTGAATATATATCAAATGTATTTATTGAATTAAGGAACTTACAAAAGAGTAAAAGACTGAAGGTCTTTCAGGAATAATATATTCCTATCTTCAAGAAGTCAGTCAAAAATATCACGATAGAATATATTATGTTATTTTTTATTTAAAATGCAAACATTCATCCATAATTAAATGAATTGTTAATTTTAAAAATGTCTTAAATTTCTTAAATTTCTTCCACTCTTCAAGTTCTAAAATATAAATATTATAAAAGTAATAAAATTTATTTTTTAAGGGTGATTATATTATTTGCATCAAATTAATAAATTCATAAGAAGATATATAACAATATAATGGTATATTTCCACTTATGAGTGCTCGGGATATAGGAAAAGATATATCAATTGGGGTTTAGACCCTTGCTTATATATAAGAATGGATGAACTAGATTTAATCCAAAATAGACTATAATTAATGTATTATCTAACCAAAGTAATATATATATATATTTACAAATTTTACACTATCCTCCTCTTCGAAAGATAAAAAGATAATGATAATAAATCAAGTGCTTTTACTAGGTGATTATAGATTATCACAAGAATTTAAAACTCTCATAAAATCACCAAGAAAACTGTTGACAATCTTGACTAAAATAAAATCCAAAGTTATAATATAAATATCAATTAATTACAAAATCTTGATGAATTAGTATATGCAACTGCTAAATGCTTAAATTAACTTTAAAATCATAACTTTGAACTAAAGTAAAATTCTTTGATAACCACTATAGTCTATTAAATGCCCTTGTAACAAGTGATATATCCCGTGTTTTAAGTTTGCCTGCCGATAATTCTCCAAAATCACTATTAACTCAAACTCACAACTATAAATAAAACTTGCTTCTTCATCTTTATCTAGCATTGCATATAGAAAATTAGACTTACTCTATTTATCATTCATATCCTTTTTATCCCTTTCTCAAAAGAATTTTTTTTTTGAAGCACTAGCTCTATTCAAACTTGTTATGCTCGTCCTCATTCCACTATCACATCCATTTAACTTCACTATATTGAGGTTAAATGTTCCATTCAAACTTGTTATGCTCATCCTCACTCCATAAACTATGTCATTCATCTTCGCTCCATTATCATATTTACTCGTATCGCAAATGACTGTAGGTATCAAAAATTATCTATTGGTTAGTCCTTTCAAATATTTTTTCTTTACTGCCACGACAACAAGAGGTTGGTATTGCTAAACTCTTTACCAATCTCTGTCTAAATTAATTGAGAAACTGGTTATCACATGTGCACTTAGACAAGAAAGGCACTAAGGAAGGAAATCCTAAATTGTCATTTAGTTAGACATACTTATCATAGTGATGAGAAACTTATGTTGTTAACTTGCACTTGCTCGTGTTGGGAACCCAGGGAAGATTTACTAAATATAGAATGGTGTTAGATTGCAAATTTGGGCATGGGACAAACACCATTGTGTTCAGGATAATTTCTATATTTTATAAATATGCCAAATTAGCAAATCTAGACACATTTTATAAATAACAATTATGACTGAACAAAACTAACACAAGGTGCATGATAGCAAGGGTGTTTGGTAGATACAATAAGTTATCATTTAGTGAATATTGAGGGGTTTGTGAAGAGTGGCAAATAATCTAATCTATAGCTTTTTAGTATAACACTAGTGGATCCTTCCTAGGCATGATTATAAGTGGATCAATCAACTGTAAGGATTAATTTATTGGTTCAAGTAGTCATTGTCATGCTCTTTTATAAACTTTTCTTGGATTAGACTGAAGATAGTGCAAATGTAAACTTGAGGTTTGGTCAAAGTAAAGTCCAAAAAAGAGTCATTAAGGAGGAAGAATCAAACACATAAATTATTTTTTTTCTTTGAGAGATGATTTAGTAATGAGGTATGAATTGCTTATGTTTACATTATGCAATTAGTGTCAATTTTGATGCATGTTAATTATGGTGGTCTTACAAGTGGTGAGTCGTGGGATGGATAGTGGTGAAGTGCTAAACCATTTTGTTTAAGTTTGCTATTGAAGTCTTCAGTTATAATGCTCAATTTTGTTTTCAAGGAACTTTATTATTACTCTTTGAGTAGGTTGGTGTAAAATTAATTTTGAGTTTGGTCGGAAAGAGTGTGGTATGAGCTTGTCTATATTATGAATAAAGTTGGTGATGTTCAGTGTTGTAAATCTTTATTAGTGAGCTATGTATTGCTCGATTAATAATCAAGTCATTGTGATATATCATATCTATGTGATCGTGAGTAATATGTATATGAAGTTATTTGGTTAAACAATGATCAACCCTAAAATGGTTGAAAATGAAGCTAGTCTACTTGCAAATAGTAACATTAAAGTAACTTTGACTTGGTTCTCGATGATAATCTATTATGCTAAATTTGAATTGGTACCTTGGTTCCTTTGGAGTTTGTTCATTATAGTGTTGGAAAAGGTTATGGCATGTATTTGCTATAGCTTGTTAGTAAATCCCTTAGCACTTGGAATAAATTATTGGATGGAGAAAGTGTGTAACTAAAGTATTAACTTGTTAACATTTGTGTTAGTGGAGATAACGAAGAACTTTCCTTAGAGCTTAATTTTCCATATCATTTTTATTATTAATATTTTTGTTTCATATTGGATTTTGAAGGTGATTAAAGAAAACCATTATTGCAATGTGGATGTCTAAAGATGTGGTCTTTGTAATCAAGTTTTTGGTATTCATTTGCATTTACGGATGTCAATGTTAGATATCAGAAATATGGGCAAGATATTTGATGCTTAAACATATTGTTGGGTCATGAGAATCTATGTTGAGGTAAACCTATATGAAGTTGTTGGTAGTAGGAAGTTGGTTGAATTTTGAGAATTTATATTTCTAGATTGATGAAAAAAAAATTTCTTAGACTTTTCCAATAGCTAATTTGTTAATCATTTTTTTCAAAAACCATTTTTTTTCGTAAGTTAGTACAAACTAATGAAAGGGTTGGAGTTGACTTTGGTTAGCTTAAACATTACTAAATAGTTTGTATGATATGACTTAAAAGGAATGTTAACTTTTTATGGCTAAGGCAATTGAGTTGGATAAAATATGGAGTTAAATGCTTATTGCGCTTTTTTAAAAAGGTGATGTAAAAAAATGGCTATTACTTTTTTTTGGAAAGATGACCATTATGCCTTTCTTTTATGGTATTATATTTGATGGCAGGTTACACTTTACATTTCGTTAAACTCTATGAGAATGGTGAGCTTTCATTGATCTTGATTTAGTTTTAATAGCCTTATACCTTGGTTGAAGATGATGATGTCTAACTTAGTTTTTTTAGGTTGAGATGTTAGTACCTGTACTATAACTTTGTCTATTAAAAGGTTATATACCAATATGAGTCTAGTTTCAAAGAGGCTAGCTATGCATGATCAACACTTAGTCGCAACTAAAGTGAAGACTATGAGATATTGGCTATATATGTTTGTGAGCTTATTGTTATATGATTGGATTTGAGTAGTCATTTAGTTTGTGCTTGTCTATGTTTTTATATTTTGTACCCGTTTTTGTTGGACAAATATATAATTCGATGACATGAGTTTTGTGTTTGAATTTTGTTAAAGGTGGTTGTTGGTTGCCATTTTAGGGTTTAGGATTTAGGGTTTAGAATTTAAACCCTAAAATAAGTTTTTGATTAGTGATTACTTGTAGACTTTGTCGAAGACTTTTGACACTTGCTTCGCTTGATGAAGATTTATCAGTGATAGGCTTGCTTTATTGGATAGTGTTGCAGAGAATCATATCATTTGACTTGCATGGTTTTTCCATGTTAATATATTAATTCTATCTCTGTTAATAGTATTTAATTGCGTTTAGTCCGTAGTGTTGGATTTTATTAAGTCTTGAAGTGTTTGTATCCCTTTGCTCTTTGGGTTGTACACTTAGAAGTCGTTTTGTGCTTTAGTACCTCTGCTCCTTTACTCCATACTTAAGAGTTTAGCTCCATTCTTTCATTCAATGGCCTAAGTCTCTGAAACTTGGGTTCACTTCACTATCCTTGGACGTGTAGCATATGGCACATGGCATCTAACATGTGGCATATGAAAGGCTTAGGTTTTGTTTCATGGTTATCCTATAATAAATTACCATAGGATAAAGGGTGAAAACCACGTGCACTATAGATTGTCCTCACTCCATCATTAGGGTCGTACTCCCATCCATCCCCTCTACCCCTTCCTTCTAAAGAAAAAGAAAATTAAAATGTTAAAGACAAAAAGAAAGGAAATTAAAAGAAAGATATGTGCTCAAAGCTTGGAAAATAAGAGACTTCCTATCATAAAATATTTCCGCCACCACAATATAAATAAAAGATTCACACTGCTCAACCTCTTTAATGCACTACTCAACACTTGAGAC